CAATGTAAGTAGTAGCTCTAGTGACAGAAGTGTAACTTTGGGTGATCAAATTATTAAAAGGTGTGAACGATTTAGATATCACGGGTCTGTTGTTCAAAGCGATGGTGATATAGATGGAGATGTTAATAGTAGAATTCAAGTTGGTTGGTTGAAGTGGAGGAATGCTTCGGTCCTTTTGTGTGATAGAAATGTACCGCTTAGACTGCAAGGAAAATTTTATAAATCGGTGGTGAGAATTGCAATGCTTTATGGCGCTAAATGTTGAACTTTAAAAGAGAAGCATAATATTAAGTTAAGTGTTGCCGAGATGAGAATGATTAGGTGGATGAGTAGCTTTACACTTAGAGACAAAATGCGAAGTGAATGTGAATATTGTGAAATGATTATATCCGTGGTAGGGTTGGTGTAGCTCCTGTGACGGACAAAATTAGGAAAGTCGTCTTAGGTGGTTTGGTCACATTAAGCGTCGACCATCTGATGATCTGATTAGAAGAGTAGATATTTTAGATTCATCTTACGTTAAGAAAGATAGAGGTAGACCTAGGAAGACTTGGGCTTATTGTATAAAAAATGATCTTAATTTATTAGAACTAAATGAAAATATGACACTAAATAGGACGCAATTGAGAAAAAGGATTCATGTAGCTGATCCCACGTAGTGGGATTAAGGTTTTGTTGTTGTTGTTGTTGTTGTGGAGATGAACGTATTTTTCTAGGCCAACTCCTAAATGTGATTAGAATGGAAGCTTGTTTTGGCTGCCATAATAGTATAAAACTAAGACTTTTCGCTAGAGATTTACATACTTATACTTACCACTCAATTCCTATGTATTTACATATCTAACACCCACTCTTTAATTTTTACATACATTTCACCTTACCTATGCATGAAAAGTTGTATTTCACTTTTTAAAAGTTAAAATGGTGCAATTTTTAATGTGATACGAAAGTTTTGAGTGGTATACTTGTAGAAGTAAAGTTTTGGTGTTAGAAATGTAAATGCATGGGAATTGGTTAATTGTCCTTTTACACTTAAATAAAATTATACTGCTTTGCCTTATCATTCCTTAGGTTTTGTTGGCCACTTGATTATGGCTTATGGTGTACACACCAACTGTTTTTCTTGGAAAGATTACTCCACCGCAGTTGTCAAATTGTCACCAGCAAGCATTGGAATCATAAGCAAGATAAGGAAGTTGCATGGCCAACATTTAATTCTGGTGAAATTCTGCTCTAGTAGAAAAATGACAAATATCAGCTCACGGAAAAGCTGCAAGGTTTCATTTCATGGATTGAACTGCATACCTATTTGTCAGATGTCCATCAGGAAGTCATTTACACCATGTATGAAGTTCAATTTTGGCACAAGCACTCCTGGGGTATTCATTAAGTTTGAAGTTTAATATGTAATTTATGTCTTATTTTCTATCTATAGGGTTAACTATTTGTTTAAATGGCACATTTATAGGATGATGGGGCACTATATCGTCGAGCAGCTGTTCAACTAAGCTTGTTTAAGTTGTTGGAGAAGGTATCTATTGTGGTCCTTACTGGACTCCTGTCAATGTTAGCTATTCAGCCAGCTGGTGCAGTTGACAGCCTAAAAACTTGCGTTTGTCTACTTAGAGAATGCAGGTATTTGATTGATCTGAGTTCCAATTACTTTCAGAGTCTTTTCAGCACCGGAGCTGTTACATGAAGACTGCTTTCTGTTTTGATAATTTTGATATTCCTACCCTATTACTTTTTATCTTCGTTGTTATTTTTTTTCTCAAAACCAACTGTTCTTCATTAACTGTTTTTGGTTTGAGCCTGATCACATTAGTTCAATGATACGAATTGGGGCTAAAAACAGTAAATAAATTACAAGAAATATGTGGGGAAACTCAAATTACGGCTAATTTGATTAATCTTCAATCAAACAAATAAGAAATCCAAACAACACACTCAAATGCATAAAAAATAAATACCTAGAATTCAAGAAGTGATCTCCCCCAAACTTTAGCTCTAGCACCTACAATTCGAGAGGTAGCTAATCTCTCCCAAACCCTAACCCTAAAATTCAGTACAACAATCTCCTCATAACCCTAACCCTAAACATATTAGCCCTATATATACCCACAATAATAAATAATAATTTATTAAATTTCTCTTAGACGTTAGCGTAATAAAACTCCTTTTTGAAAAATACACATTGTCCTCAAGGTGAGAAAAAAAACTGCTGCTGGATTAAGTTGTGTTGCTCCCAATCATAAATTGATTTGAGCTTGGCTATCACTGTCATCATTTGATTGAAATAAGTGATGAGTCATTGATATTTCATGAGGATTGCACTTAATTGATAGCCTTCAGCATTCTACTATCCATCAACATAACTACCGGCTGTTCCTCGATTTGTCCTCTCACCTTTATTGTGTGTTTTGGTGTAAATCTGATCTCTGAGTTGATGGATACCTTTGCTACATCAAAGTGTAAGTGCCCCTTTCTCTCCACCACTTCTTCCTTTGGCTCCTCAGTATTTGTCCCCTCACCATAAATAATTGTAAAGACTTGGAGTGTGCGATCCTTGCACCAATGGCCTGGTGCAAACTTTTGATCAAATCAAAAACATATCCTTTTGCTTTTTGGTCCCTCACCTCTGCTGCTGTGAGTCACTTGAAGTTGACCCTGGTATAGGCACCCATATTTCTCTCATTAGGCATCCTCTGAAATGCACTGTCTAGGTTCTCGATGTCATGGTCGTTGTGTTACTCTTTTGGAATCCTCTTGTGTTGACACTTTTACTGGTCTTCTCCATCTGGTTTAGGGTTATCAAAACAACTCGTTCGAGAACAGTTCGTGTTCAACTCATTAAGAAACTCATGTTTGATTCATTTGCTAAGTTAATGAGCTTAACACAAATGATTTTTTTTGCTCGATATATAAACAAGCCAAACACAAATCGTTTTGGCTCAAAATAATTAAATGATATATATATTTATATATATATTTAAAAAGGCAAAATTCATTGATATAAAAGAGATGATACAAAGGTTTTAGTGAGTGAGTACAAAAAGTACAAAAAGCCCACTCATAGGGATTACAACTACACGTATTCCCAAAAAATATAACAAAAAGAAAACAACCTCCTAATCTTGGTCGGTGTAGTCGGTGGACATACCGCTTCCACTTCGCCTGGATCTAAGGCGGGAGTCCAACAATATATTGAGATGTGGGCTTCCGCCCAAAACTATGATATAGTCATCCTGAGAATTACTGAGATCTAGCATTCCTTTTTTCTTCTTCCTAGATCTGTAAACCTGCTAATCATCTGTCAGAGGTAGTCCTGTCTAAATAATAGGTGGATCTTAGATGGAGGTAAACTGCTGATCTGACTCAGCTTGCAGCACACCTTGATCCTGACACTCCTCAAGAACTTGAGTTCCCTCTTCTCTCGCAATAGGTGGTCCTAAGCCACTCGGGCTAGCATCTATTACAATAAAATTCGTAGTATTTGTGATCTAAGGAAGAGCTACCTCAACAACAGTAGGCGGAAGCTGTTGGACTGGTTGGTGAGGAGTAGCCTTATGAGTCAAATTCTCATTCAACACTTCTGGAAGATTAACAGTCTGTTATATCCTCCACATGGATGATGTTGTTAGGACTTGCCGAACTCAAATGTGGGTGAAGCCTGAAGCGTTTGACAGGGGTTTGCCCAAACAGTTTACAGTGATTGCAGTAGTAGTGTCTTTGTTCTGCAACAATTAGCTGTCAATACCCATTGTGGGTAGTACCAAACCATATTTCGTCCACATCAAGGAGGGTGATATCCCTTTCAACAAGAATACTTGCAACCGAAGGCCTGTTTAGATTGAAGGTGGGTGTATACAATTTCATAGGTCTCCCTAGTACAGTTTCAATAGAATAAAAGACTTGGTGATTGATGTAGTGCAACTTTAGGCCAAGTAGTTTAAACCAAATTGGAACTATAGGTGGTTCTTGGCTAGGGTCAAAATCAGGAGACCACTTAAGCAGTTTCATATATTTTTCATCTATTGTCATAAATTTTTTGAAAAATATTTGGCATGGTCTTTCACTTTAGATAATTGTATCATCACATGTCTCCCATCAAAGAGTCCAACCTTCCAAAATCCCAATAGTTTGAGATCTTCAAAAGTCTTTTGAACGAATTCTATTTTGGGATGCCCCGATTGGAATTTCCCAATGAGGGTGAATTTGAACTTGTTAACCAGGTTGAAAACTTCAACATCATAGAAGAATAGAGTCTTTGCCACTCTTCCTACCCATCTTCTTGATAAGGTTGCAGTCCTTTTGGTCTTCGAATGATTCATGGTAAACCTGAGGGAAAACTTGATCTGATCTCATAGGGCCAACAATATTAACAAAAGAAGCCTTCCCAAGGTTTAAAATTGAAGTAGTCGGTGGTTAAGAAGGAGCAGTAGCCATGGAACAGGGAGTTGAACAACGTCAATCTACAGGGAATGAGTCTGGACTGCGAGTAGCTCACGTACGTGCAGGGAGGACGGACACGAGTGCTACAGGAGACGGCCACAGAAGATAAAGCAGCAGGAGACGAGTCGGGAGTTGCAGAAGCGCGACCGCAGGAGACGCAGCTGACAATGGAAGAGACGCGACGAAGAAGTGACGCCTCACGACGCAAAAATCTTTTCTTCTTCGAGCGTGAAAGAGTCGAAACGACTCACGACGAAGAAGCCGACGTCGTATGATGCAGGCGAAGCACGACAAAGAGCAAATCAACAAAGAGATACTAGGTTTTGTCATAATGGCGAAACCCTAGCAGAGCAAAATCGGAACAGACGACACTTTATAAATGATATATATATATGTATATGTATATATATATATATATGCTTAACACAAATGATTTTTTTTGCTCGATATATAAACAAGCCAAACACAAATCGTTTTGGCTCAAAATAATTAAATGATATATATATTTATATATATATTTAAAAAGGCAAAATTCATTGATATAAAAGAGATGATACAAAGGTTTTAGTGAGTGAGTACAAAAAGCCCACTCACAGAGATTACAACTACACGTATTCCCAAAAAATATAACAAAAAGAAACTCCTAATCTTGGTCGGTGTAGTCGGTGGACATACCGCTTCCACTTCGCCTGGATCTAAGGCGGGAGTCCAACAATATATTGAGATGTGGGCTTCCGCCCAAAACTATGATATAGTCATCCTGAGAATTACTGAGATCTAGCATTCCTTTTTTCTTCTTCCTAGATCTGTAAACCTGCTAATCATCTGTCAGAGGTAGTCCTGTCTAAATAATAGGTGGATCTTAGATGGAGGTAAACTGCTGATCTGACTCAGCTTGCAGCACACCTTGATCCTGACACTCCTCAAGAACTTGAGTTCCCTCTTCTCTCGCAATAGGTGGTCCTAAGCCACTCGGGCTAGCATCTATTACAATAAAATTCGTAGTATTTGTGATCTAAGGAAGAGCTACCTCAACAACAGTAGGCGGAAGCTGTTGGACTGGTTGGTGAGGAGTAGCCTTATGAGTCAAATTCTCATTCAACACTTCTGGAAGATTAACAGTCTGTTATATCCTCCACATGGATGATGTTGTTAGGACTTGCCGAACTCAAATGTGGGTGAAGCCTGAAGCGTTTGACAGGGGTTTGCCCAAACAGTTTACAGTGATTGCAGTAGTAGTGTCTTTGTTCTGCAACAATTAGCTGTCAATACCCATTGTGGGTAGTACCAAACCATATTTCGTCCACATCAAGGAGGGTGATATCCCTTTCAACAAGAATACTTGCAACCGAAGGCCTGTTTAGATTGAAGGTGGGTGTATACAATTTCATAGGTCTCCCTAGTACAGTTTCAATAGAATAAAAGACTTGGTGATTGATGTAGTGCAACTTTAGGCCAAGTAGTTTAAACCAAATTGGAACTATAGGTGGTTCTTGGCTAGGGTCAAAATCAGGAGACCACTTAAGCAGTTTCATATATTTTTCATCTATTGTCATAAATTTTTTGAAAAATATTTGGCATGGTCTTTCACTTTAGATAATTGTATCATCACATGTCTCCCATCAAAGAGTCCAACCTTCCAAAATCCCAATAGTTTGAGATCTTCAAAAGTCTTTTGAACGAATTCTATTTTGGGATGCCCCGATTGGAATTTCCCAATGAGGGTGAATTTGAACTTGTTAACCAGGTTGAAAACTTCAACATCATAGAAGAATAGAGTCTTTGCCACTCTTCCTACCCATCTTCTTGATAAGGTTGCAGTCCTTTTGGTCTTCGAATGATTCATGGTAAACCTGAGGGAAAACTTGATCTGATCTCATAGGGCCAACCATATTAACAAAAGAAGCCTTCCCAAGGTTTAAAACTGAAATAGTCGGTGCTTGAGAAGGAGCAGTAGCCATGGAACAGGGAGTTGAACAACGTCAATCTACAGGGAATGAGTCTGGACTGCGAGTAGCTCACGTACGTGCAGGGAGGACGGACACGAGTGCTACAGGAGACGGCCACAGAAGATAAAGCAGCAGGAGACGAGTCGGGAGTTGCAGAAGCGCGACCGCAGGAGACGCAGCTGACAATGGAAGACGAGCGACGAAGAAGTGACGCCTCACGACGCAAAAATCTTT